ACTACGTTATTAGTAAGTATATATATATATATATATATATATATATATAATGTGTCTATATGTTAAAGGTTAAGAGAAGGATGGAAAGTGGAATTTAAAAAATTAGATACATATTTCTCAAGCATTTTGGGTCTGGCCTAGCTATCTATATGTAAATGATGAACGCATCTATACCGGGAAGATCTTGTTTTCAACTAGGGAAGTATTGTAGATTGAGGATAAATGTTTAAAGTGTCAGATAGACATGATGAACGATGGAAATTAAAGAATGGAACTTTGAAGCCTATAGTCAAGCTTACTGTGTTTGCTAGAATAAGACTGGATGAAATTTATTAACACATTCATCAAGACATTGTTAGGAAATCTCTCTCTCTCAATGAGCCATGTTAGAAAACAAAGTATGCACTACTAGTTGCACAACTATTCATGTCTTTAAGGAACCAGTAACGTAAACTGTCAGGATTATGTGGAAAACCAAGCACAATTAGTCTGCTAATGCAAAGTTTACACTCCAAAATAAATTGGACAATTCTCCTTGCCAGTTGAAACACAGATAATATAAATGGCCACTGAACAGGTTTATAAAGGTAGTACAATATAGAAAACATGAGGTAATAATCAGGAGAATCTTGGGACAGGAACTTAAATCTGTATAAGGAAACTTGCATTTAAATTACTAGACAGTACACTGGGACACTGCAAAAATCAGAGTAGCAACATATAGGTTCAGAATACATTTTCTAAAGCAACAATTCAAAACATATATCACAAACAGATAACATCTTATCAGATGTCAAGATCTTTTCCATATGTCATAATTTTCTGGAAAAGATTAGAGAATCCATTTTAATAAAGAGAAATAAACCTAAATCAAACAAGTAAAAAGCTTGGCCTTCAGTGTAGAGATGTTAATGGCACTTTAAAGATTTTAATATGTTGAACTTTGATGAAGTCTCTATACACACACACATTAGGGATGAAATATATTTTCGGACATTGTTTTGTGTATGTGTCGATATAATAATGTGAAATAATACTTATAGATACAAATATGAAGAGATATTTTACATGTGTAGCATATCCTATTCTAGATCCAATGATTTTAGTAGTTTACCTGTTATTTTACACATTTATTTAGCATTTTTGGTTTGATTTGTTCCAACAATTTAAATTCAAGAATGTTTGATATTATTTCAATATTATTTGAACTTTCTAAAAGCATGTATCAATGTTATCTATTGATGACAGTGTTCCAACTTAGATTCAACTAGATTAGTGAACTTGTAGGATATCGATAGCTCCTGATGAAGTTGTAATAGTGAATATTGAGCTAATAAAGGTACATTTTGTAGATATAGGTCGTTATTTTATTTAAGTTTATAAAAAAGAACAGTAAATTATTTGTGGATTAGAAAGGACTATGATATCAATAACACTACATACAATTGAAATTAAGAAATTTTATCGAAAAGCTCCCAGCTGGGAAAGTTTCATATAGTCATTACTTCTCCATCTCAATAAACAAGGACTGGCCTTCCTTCAATTATTCCTGCTTCTGTAAAAAAACCAAATACTGTATACATATGTCTAGAGGCAATAGAAAAGGCATTCAGCAAAAATCTTGGACAGTGAAACACCACTATCACATTTAATGATTATCTTTATGCTGTGTTACTGACCTTCAGAGCATTTCTCCAATTACCATTACAGTATTGGATGACTCCAGCGAAGAAGAGTCAAAAACCTTGGGAAATGTCAGAAAAGAGGAACATGAATGCATAAGCCAGTTAATCTACAAAAATAAAGATGTGGTGATCTGTTTTAGTATACTACATAGAAGAAAGATTCTATCATTATTATTATAATTTAGAAATACAATGAGTCAGGTATGGGGATAGTGCATAGGCCTAATGATGACCTCGAAGGATACTGAACGAAACAGACAATGGAAAATGTATTCCAAAAGTATGTCAATTAAAAGAAACTCAAACTGAAGATAATTCAAATGAAAGTTCTAATTGACATAAGTTTAAAATTTAGTGTTCTTTCATATCATCATCAAAATTATGAATAGAAAGACTACATGAGATACAATAACAATAAGTTGAAACAATAAGCAAAATATTTTGGTAAATTTTATGAAAAAACATGTTTGAAGACAAGCAGTGCCAAAAAAAGAATGAGCCTATGTTCAAATGCCAGTACTCATAGAAATTACTGCACATGGAGGATGTGTTGTCCTTCTGTTGGTGGTGGGCTATAGTGTATAATTACATCATAAGCTGGTACAATACATGTTGAGTCACGTATGGGGTAAGAGCTTTGTTCAAGGGTCATAGGAAAAGAAAATAGTTTACATGGTAGTGCTTGTGAAGTTATAGCTCTTTGTGGTGCAGAGAGGTGAGGTGCACTTATGAATTATTGTTGAATAGATTTTTCACACCACTTCTGTTTCCCCTGTGTGGTTGATCAATAGAAAAACACAAAGCTAAAGTACATTTTATGTGTATTCTGTTCATTGGAATTTATGTAAAGAACTGAAGTATCTCATTTAATCTGTATTATCTTAATAAACATAATGCAGAATATAGAACAGAAATAAAATAAGTCACTTACTACCAAAGATTACTAACACAAAAATTTAGCCAAGGTTCTAGTTTATGCATATGTAATCATAAGGTTTCAGAATTATTTTTTTCCAAATTGTACTATTAAATAAATTTTAAGTTTTGTTTGTGGAAGAAACAATACAAATTAAATGTGAATTTACATCATTCATTAATAAATATAAAATCTGGTATATTTAGCATATATTCATTGCCACTATCAAAAATTATTGAAAATGATCATAAATACAACAAAGTAACAACTACATATCCCGATAAAAAATAAAAATTTTGTTGGAAAGAAATACCACTAAGAATTCCAAAGTAAAGAAACAGCTGTAGCAGATATCCAGAAGGAAAGAGATACCAACTAGAAATTACCCAGCAGGAATGGGATACTAGCTTGAAAACAGCAGGAAGCAAGAAAGCTTCAAATCTCAATACATGCTAGCTCACAGCATAACCAGTAACAGGTGAAATGAATTCAATATGCTATCATCTCAAAATAACTTATACAGACTTACTGTTACCAAAGTATTGATTTAAATATATGCAGTATTTATGTAATCTGTATAAGAAATTTGCTAGCTAAGTTGGCAAAACTCTTTTTAACCCTTCTCTTTGAATGGGGTCCACAAATTTTTTTTTAAGTTTTGAAGGCACATTAAAGTGATAAAACACTGTCACCAGACTTACACCGAGCATCATCATACATTAAAAAGCTCCTTTGATTGCAATTATTAAATGAAAAAAATATATATATATTAAAATGCATACCTTAAACAAGATAAAGACTACTAATGAATTTTTACCATCATGTTAATACTGTGTTCCACTTCGTTTAGCCTTAGCCTGAACATACACAGAGGATTAATGTGCACCTTATAAGACAATCTGCAGATGCTAAAGCAGTAGTGCATTTCTGCAGAGTCAAGCTGTAGCATCAAGGATGATGCACTAACTTATCACTTGTATATTTAGGTCACAACAAATTCCCAACAATTAAAAAGCATAATGCTACCTATAATAGACATATTGCTTGAGGATTATGTCACAACCCTTTACAAGGTTGGATATTAACATAGCAAGACTGTTAAATAATGTAGAGACAAAGGACGTGGTATAATAGGAGGAAGCCTTTAATGTTATCATGCATGTGAAAAAACTTGCACAAGAGAGCTTTTAGTATAACATCAGACTATCAAACATCTCAAGTCAATCCAGAGCATTGCCTTCATTTCCATAGTAATAATTAAATATTATGGTTATAAATGAGAACCCTTGAATCAAAAAATGAAATGTGATGAAGCTAGTTATTTCACCTGGTACCAGTAATAATAAACAGGGATTTAAAAAAATCAACAAAGGCTAACATGGCAAAAGATCTCAAGTTTTCAGTCACACCTCAAAATCAACACATTTTCATGAAAGAGATAGCCAAAAAACCTGGAATCACACCAAGCCAAAAACAATTCCAACAGACTTATGTGCCTTTATAAAGATATGTATTTAAGATTGACCCCACCATATTTTACAACTGCCTATTACTATAGAATTTTTAATGTCAGGAAATAGAGAAAACATAGTTATCATACCAAACATGACTGAGGATGGGTAGCATAAGATGTAGAACATCACTGTTATAAATTGCAAACAATACTCAGAAACACAATGCTAATTGTTTTCTTTTTTTTGCAATTTTAAAACATCTATTAAGAAAGAATTATTTATTCCCACAAACAAACAATATTATATAAATAATCAGAATATTGGTGATTTTTGCCAGAAAATTTTACTCTTAATTTAAAATACTGCAATAAAACATTCTAATTACAGGATTAATTTCATTGAAAAACTGAAAATATGTTAAGGGTAATAATATTGGAGACCCAGGACTTTCAGTTGGTTTTGTGTATCAAACTTGCATTCTCAGACACTGATACAGAGTGTAAAGTTGTAGTATAATTTTTTCCTCCTAATTGTTAAGCATTTAGTTGTTTAGTAGAAGTATAATCTTAGTCCAGTTATGTGATTTTTGGACTAATTCTTCATATGTTTTAATACGATTAGAAAGGCAAACATATAACGAGCCAAAGTTATTCTTCTGTTTTTTTGCTTGCAGTAATGAAATTATTTATTTTAAATTAAGAGTAAAATTTTCTGGCAATATTTTAAAACAATGTAATCACTTATGCAAGTTTCAGCTAAATATATACTTACAACTTTGACATAAGTTTGCATATTGCTTATTTTTTCTTTCATAATTTAATTAATTATTGATATATTTAATTTTACTTTATTAAGCTTTTCACTAGAACAAAATAATACCAAGAAAAAACCTTCAAAGTTAAACTCACAAGCCTCTCTTGAATGTCATTTTTTAATTCAGTCAAGTTCTGATTTAATGCATCTTTCTCTTCTTCAAAATGTGTTTGGTGTTCAAGATGTTGGAACTCCAAGTCTTCAAATGCTTTTCTCTTAGTTTCCAACATCTCTATTTCTATCTTATAATGTTCTGCAAGCTTGTCATCTTTCTTATCTTCTGCAAGTCTACATATTTGCTTACTTTCTTCTTTTTGGGAAAAGTTCACTTGCTCATCTATAGAATTTTCACTAAGCAACTGCTGTAGACCAACAATTTCTGCTAATTTCTGTTGATGTTCTTGTAGAATTTTTTTAGCCTCTTCTAACTGATTCATGTCCTTAATATTCAAAATAATGCATTATGAAAATAATACTGTAAAATTTGTTTGAAAATTTTATTTGAGGAAAAACACATTAATAAAAAAAAACATTGCTAGCTTTGATCTTTTAAAGAGAGACCTATACATTTGTCAATAACTAAATTCTTGTTTGTGAAAAACTTAAAAACAAACTAAACAGTATCTACAACAAAAGTCGAGAAAATGGCCATTAAAACTAGATTACAATAAACTTGTCTAAATTTCACATTTACAAAGAGGTAAATGTGTCTCTACACACTGATACTTAATTCTGCTTCCATAAGAAATAATTCTAGTTATTATATTTAAATAGGGAAGGCTGAAGCTGTACAGCTTTTCCGAAATGTTGTGAAACAAAGCTGGAATATTGTATATGAGAAAGAAATCTGTACTGGACTGGAAAACAGAACTGTTCACGACTTTAATTACAAAAGTAGTACATAGAATCAGAATGAAGTCAAGCCATTTAATACATGATGAATCATTCTATCACCAAATGTCTGAAAAACTATCATAGAATATGTAGTGTAACAGAATCTGTTTCTAAAGAAGAGCAGTAGTTACGAAGTAGGTCATCTATATGTTAAGAAAAGAACCAAAGTTAATTCTGAAACCTTAATATGGAAAAAAAAGGAAAATATATGTAACAATGACATTTCAAAAGAAAAAAAAAAATGACTGAA